GAAACTTATTTATCTCAATCAATAGATTGAAACTATAATACCGCGCAGATACTTTATTTTCATCTTTTCTGGTCTTATTTTGTCATTGTTTTTTCGATTTTTACTTTGAATAACTATTCAAAATATTAATTAGAAAGAGATAAATAAGCACACAAACACAAAGTTAAAGAATTGGGGGAACTCAATCCTCTATTCTCGTGATATAATAGAAAAGATGAGAATATAGTCATAAGAGGGACAAAGTAAGATACATGATTTAGTTTATAGTCACTGTGTGGGAATTACAGAGAAACAAATAATAATATATTATTAGTTGTATGCAAGGAATCAAATTTTAGTTTGCTTCTTTAAGTATTCAAAGTAACTTATATTCTAGTCGATGAATAAATTTCTTTATAACTCGATTTTTGGACGGTGTAATATTATCTTATCTAATTGCCATGATTTAAATAATGTGATTTTCCAGTTTTTACAATGATGATACAACAGCGGGCAATAGGTTATATATTAGTACTTGCAATATCTCTTCTTCTGATCTGCAATGAGGTCCAAGGAAAAACAAAATTATCCTACCTTGAAGACTTAGAATTAGAGAACCAATTAAAGCTTTTAAACAAGCCAGCTGTAAAATCCATCAAGGTATGTTTTTTGTTGGTATGCGCCGTAAATAACGAAAATCTCTATTACAATTATTTGTTATTTTGTTTAATAGTAATAGAATGATTTATAATGTTCTTTTTAATAATATTCTATTACTTTATAAACAGATAGATCAATTGCATTTAGAATATAAACTTGACTTAGAAATCAAGTCATTTTCCTAAGAAAAATTTATAAATGACACAGTATATTTACTATTGGGTCTACAGACAGAATATGGTGATATATACGATTGTGTGAATTTCTACCAACAACCTGCATTTGACCATCCATTGTTGCAAAATCACACATTTCACCCTCAGGTTTGTCTCTACACCATTCGCTTAACTCCAAATTTAAACTATTTATATTATAATATTGATATTAATATTTTTTGAGGTTTTCATGCACATAGATGAAACCGACCTTGCCTATAATGAAAGGCTATTCTGATGATTCAATAACTGGTTGGCCTTTGGGAATGGGATTAGAAGGAGTCGGTTGTCCAAAAGAAACAGTTCCCATAAGAAGAACTACTAAAGATGACTTTATTAGACAGAAACTTATGTCACCCACAGAGAATGTCTCTTTCAGCACTTCGTTTTCCTATGTAAATTTATGAATTTAAACTTAATGACAATAACTTTGAACACTTGTCTCATGATATAATTCTTTCTCTCTGCAGGGAAACAACATGAGTAATAAAGTAATTTTTTCTTCCAAAGGGTACAAGGTAGCTATCAAGGAATCAATATTGTGTCGTGTTTCTTTGAATTTATTATTTATTGTTATTTCTTCCAGGATAATTAATACAATAATTTTAATAATATTTATTCTTCTGGAATACACCAAGTTTACTAGATGCATCATGGAAAAAATGAGAGAAAAAAGCAAAACTGAACACAATGTTGGGCAATTCAAGATAAGAGATAGATTTTTTTAGCCATTCTATTACTTCATGTTTTCTGTTATTTAGCTTGCTATTGTTCAAACCGAAAATAATCCAAGCAACAAGTTTGGAGGAGCTGGTATGGTGACTGCTATTTATACTCCTCATGTGAAAGGCCAACAACATAGTGCTTGTCGGTTGAAAATACAAAAAGGATCAGAAAATATACAAGTTGGATGGAGAGTATGTATCTTGACTTTTATTAACAATTCATTATCTTCTTCTTATATTACTTATAATCACTCTAATGTGTTGGTGAGTATCAACAAGTTTTTCTAATTCTCAAGCTGCAAGCATATTTGTTTTATCTTTACAAATAATTTTATCATCTCTTTAGCTATGTATTATTTTTGTATAATGTTATTCCAGGTGGATCCTACACTTTATGTAGATGGTCGAAGTAGGCTATATACACATTTTCAAGTGAGTTATTTATAACTTTTTTTGAATATTATTCTTGCCTTTTGTATAAGATGTGCAAGTCTTATATATCTTGCCATAAATCTATATTCACGACATTTCAGTAACAAAATATATGTTGCTTTTTTTTTTGTAGGCAGGAAAAATTCAATGTTTTAATACGCAATGTCCTGGATTTGTTATTGTAAACACGAAGATACCTTTAGATTATATATACTCTCCTGTTACACAACGTGGAAGTAAGGATGCGTGGGTAGATAAAATGTACATAACACGGGTAAATTAGTCTTAGACCTATTTCAGTAATTCGTGAATTATTTGATACTCTGTTTTTGTATAATACTAACATATTTTTTCTTTTTTGTCTTTTTTGAAAATTAAAGGACCTTGTCAACGGGAACTGGTGGCTTTTGCTCACGCGAAATCAAACACAAATTAATTTTTGGCCTAAATAGATTTTTGATGAATTGAATGACTTTGCATCAACGGTTGAATGGGGCGGAGTAGTATATAGTCCACCTGGGGTACTTGAACCACTAATGGGGTCAAGCTTTTTTCCAATAGGAGACACACGTTACGATGCATATTGTAGGAATATTGGGACAATAGATGACAATGGCCAAGAAACAGAAGCTGGCAACTTAATACCTTACATGACCAACCCTGATCTATACAAAGTAGTCGATGCTCCAAATGAGGGATCTAGTTTTAAGCATTCCATTTTTTATGGGGGCCCTAGTGAAAGTACAGAGGTCTAACCTAAATAAGTCTTGTCAAATACTACTGAATTGATAAGGGATTAACATGCTTTATAATTTAATTTACAATTGAGATTATAATGCATAAATTTATCTGAATATATCTTTTAATATTACAAGAAAATGGTGCAATATTTCTTTTTTTACCTTTGATACTTGATCATAATTTGTGTTGCACGAGTTTTCATATTTTTCTTCTTTATTTTATTCTTTTCTTCTCTAAGTTTGGTCGAGCTCACAACTTTTGCAGGATAGTTCTTTTGTTTTTTTTTTTGCGTTCTTCTTAACGTATAAAACCTTTTTTTTGTTATGTATTATTATATTAATGGCAAATAAATTCAAGTGTGTATGTTATAAATCAATCTTGACACTTAACATGAAAGAGGAAAGTTATAAAGAGGAAAAGCTTAACAATCTAAAGAACAAAATATTTTTTCTTTTATGAAAAGTAAATGATATATAGCAAAAAGTAGGAGTACATATGATATTAACCTTAAAAAATTAAAAAAACAATAGATTGACAAATGTCATACATATGGAGTAAATGATTTTTCAAAAATAGTCATTTTTATTAAATACTTTAGCTAAACAACTTTAATGATGCTCCTATTGAAAGTGAAAGTTGATGTACCTCATAGTTGGGCTGTACCTTCCTTAGGCGTTGCGGGAGATGCCCGCCCGTAGGGCCCGGCCTGCGTCCTGGCCGAAAGAACCGCTCACTAGATAACCGAACTAGTGGGGCCCTATCTGGAGACATACTGAAAATCATGCTTTTCGAATCGAACGCAATGCCCGTCTTTCAAATAAACAAAAGGGCTCATTGGGAAGAAAGATTACGTGCGGCCTGTAGAGAACATGTAAGGCACCGTCGCCCAAACAAACGGCTCGGAAATAAACAAAAAAGGTGTGTGCCGCACTCACGACTCATTATCTGTTCGTTTGTTTTTTTTTATGTTCTTTTTGTTTTTCTTTTGTTTTTTCGTCCATCTCTTTCTAGTTATTTACCATTTCTATTTTTGCGTTGCATATTTCCTTTCTGTCATTTAAATGTAATAGAATTGGCCATGTCAAGTAATCACCCATCTATTCCTAGTTGAACGTAAAGTAATGGCTTTTGTGCAACGTCGAAAGGGTCCTGATGTAGTGGGATCGTTTGGATTGTTACAACCTCATAGAGAATACTTTTTCAGATTCAACTTTTTCCTTTTCTGGCGGAGATTTTGTGTAACCTCAATTACTCCAATTTTGATATTTGAAAAAAGAAAGATATATCTCATTCAAATTTCACACTGAGTTTTTGATATATGCATCCTAGTACTAATCTAAGAAAGGAAGATATTCGAAAAACATCAAACGAGAGGGCCGGCTGGGCCTGCCTTTTCAATCAATCTCCAACCGCTCAGTGACGTTATTGGTACTAGTTGTAAGGAGTCTTGGTCTCGAGTCAAGCTGGGGCGTCATTTCATTCTCGTAACGGAAATGAGTGCACCGAAATACCAGACAAGTTGCTCCCTCGCCTCGCAGCGGCGGCGCACATCAAGGCAAAAAGAGATTCAACAGTTGGCTGGGGAACCGAAATCTAAGCATATTCTTGAAAAATTACGGATTCCTAAACCTAGTAAGGGAAAGCGATTCTACTCCAATTGTAGTCATCAGTCGGATGAGAGTGAGAATAGAAAGGAAGTCGGGAGGAAGAATGGAGTATAGCATTACCTCTAGAGTATAACCCGGAGACCAATTTGCCCTTGGACATTTCGCTAAGTCTAGTTGACGAGTTTCCTTTTTTCAATTAAGCTCTAGAAAACCTTAGATTAAAAATATAGAATCATCCAAAACCAATATATTTTTGTTGTTTTAGTTAAAGAAATAGTGGTGCAAGGTGTCATGACCCAACTCCCGCTGGAGCCGCGATGACGCCTAACACTACTAGCAGTGTCACGACCCAAAATTCACTATAAGTCGTGATGGCACCTAACGCCGCCGTCAGGCAAGCCAATGGTGATTTATCAATTTAATTACCCATTTTATTACTTTCAAAATCATGAATTTAATAAGGAAAGGAACTTACACTTCTAAATCCACTAGGACGTACAACATTTGTAATTTATAAAAGAAATGAGAGGAGATAATAATATACGAAATCGTGAGCATCAAATAGTATAACCCCAACATTTGTAGTGCTAGAGAATTTTCTAAGGAGTGCAATAATAATACAACATCTGTCCAGAATGTAGTTAAGAAAGGATAAAATAAATAATACGATGGAGACTCGGTGGACTGCGATGCGTAGCCTGGAATGCAGCTCACATGAAGTCCCCTCACAAGGTGCGCCTACGTGCCAAGATGATCACCAAATGAACCTGTCAGATCTTGCACATTTAGTGCAGAAGTGCAGTATGAGTACGTAAATCAACGCGTACCCAGTAAGTATCTAACCTAATCATGGAGAAGTAGTGATGAGGGGTCTACATCGAGAGTTACTAGAGGTCTAATAAAGAGTTACATAATCTTCCAAATATTTCTTTTAAAGTATGAATTTCTCAATCTTGTATTCTACCTTAATGGCTCAGAAAATGTTAAGTGCTGTCAGGACCCGGAATTCCCACCGTCGGGACCGTGATGGCGCCTAACATTTCACTTGCTAGGCAAGCCAACTTTAGAATAATTTATCCTTTTGAACAATTTAAATTTAATTAAAGAACTGATTTAATTGCAATAATTCAAATATAAATGCGGAAGCTAAAACCGTAAAAACATCTGCTACAAATCCCTGAACCCGGTGTCACAAGTGCATGAGTTTCTAGAGTAATACATGCAAGGGTCAAAAATAAATACAAAGTTGTCTGAATGAAAATACACAGCTAAATAAAAATAAAGACGGAGACTTCAGGACCTACAGGCGCTGAGCAGTTGTACCTCAAGTCTCCGCAGGATGTCCAATCCGAGTTCTCTAGTAGCCGCCACTGGGACGGACTCCAAAATCTGCACAGTGTACAGAGTGTAATATCAGTACAACAGATCCCATATACTGGTAAGTGCCAAGCCTAACCTCGACGAAGTAGTGACGAGGCTAAGCCGGGTCACCTACACTACAGCCTGAACGCAGTATATAACAATGACAGAAAATGGGAATACTGAACAGAATTAAATAGTCAAGTGAAAATAATAATCATAGCCTCAAGAATAAACCAGTGTCGTCCAGAATTACCAATCTTTAATAATTCAGATACAAATACCGAAAAAACAACATAGCTCAAGAAATGGAAACATATAGGTTGTTGCGGCGCGCAACCCGATCCCATCAGACAACACGAAATCCTCCCTTATTTCACCGTAAAGATAATAACAATAGTAAATAATATATATATGTTGCGTCACGCAACCCAATCCCACCATATGTCAATATCAATATTATAATTCAACCTTATTTCACCATGCCAATCCACCCTTATTCCACCTGTTGCGGCATGCAACCTGATCCCACCGTATCGTAAACATTCACCCTTATTCTACCATATCAATCCACCTTTGTTACACCTTCTGCGGCGTGCAGCCCGATCCCACCATATTAGTACTTTGTACTCAATGCACACTCAAATCAACAGTTCAGACCACAATAATCTTTACGATCAACAAATACCAAACTGAACCAAATAGAATCCTAGTACAATATAGAAACTCTACATGAGTTATACTACATAGCGAGACCAATCCAGTAATTGACAATTAGAAGGTGCAAGTAAGTCAATTTAAGCAAATAGAAGGGAATCATGAAACTATGGAAGAACTAATATCGTGAACAGGAGAAGATATTGAATAACAAGTAGCAATTAAGCATGGAAAGCATTTAGAGCATATAACAGTTAAGACAGGAAAGGAAATAATTAAGTAAATCACATAGCACATAGTCCGAGGGTTCATAATTTCTTCAAGTCAAGGTTAAACACAACACTTACCTCGTCCCAAAGACCACTCAAAGCTCAACCACAACTTTGCCTTTCAAATAAGCCTCCGAACCAATAATATCTAGCAAATTACCAACAAAACGATTCAAAATAAGCCTTAGGAATCACCCACGATTGCAAAAGATTCAATTTAGGTCATTATTAAAAAAGTCAACAAAAGTCACCAAAATTCAACACACGGGCCCGCCTAGTCCAAACTCAAAATTCGGACCAACACCCGATTACCCATTCACCCCCGAGCCCGGTTATGTAATTTGTTTTGGAATCCGACCTCAATTTGA